GTTGGTGTAGAGTGTAATTGGACTTCGGCTTGTAAGTTGTGGATTTGGCTGCTCTTGGGTAAGTGGTAAGTGTTAAGTATAAAAAAAATTGTGGGGTCATTTGACCCCACATGAGGGTCCGCCCCCGAAGTGGAGTAACCATAAATAGTCTTATGGTTGCTGCAATCAAGGCCATAGAATTAAATTTGCAAAAATTGGGACCCTTTGTCCTTTCATTGTCCGATATATGGAAAAGCCGTACAGGAAAATGCAACCATACAGGTGTTGTTAGTGCAGCACCTACAAGGCCCTTGTACAGTTTCCCCTGTACAAGGGGCATAACTCCTCAAAAATTACATATTATTCCAAGTCTGCATGGCCCTACATTCCTAAATTCAATTACAGTTTTGATCACTTTCTACCTCAAACCAGTACTAGATGAACTCCGGAGAACTCGGGATTTACTGATGCTGCCATGGAACCTTCTATAATGACCCTGCATAGGTTTGGAAATATCTCAATTAGTTCTATATGGTATGAACTTGCATATGCTGAGGCCAAGGGTCTGATCAAGAAGGGCGATCTTGTATAGCACCTGGCATTTGTGGCAGTTTGATTTAGCTTGCCACTAGGGATGTCCTTCAGAAGAATCCTTACCACAGAGATTGATGATTTGGACACCAACGAACCATTTTCATACTATTTTGAACCGTCCAAATAATAAGGATTGAATTCAGGACAAATAAATTGCACTAGAAAAACAGAAGGCATTGATGGTGAACTAGTTTGTCCCATCAAGAAACCTTATTCACTTTTCTTGTTTTCAACTTGACAATCACTTTAGAAATTGGGATTATATTTGAAGTCCAGAAGATGCACAAGAACCCTTTTTCATTAGCTACAAGATCGTAGCAAGCTTTCGAACATGAGAAAGACGGAGAATTCTATGCAGAAGATACGAGTTCTGCATCCTAACAATAACTCAAATGTACAAAAATCTTGCAAAAACTGAAATTTCAAATTTCAGAAATCCACTAGAACATATATAAATCAAGGCTAAGTCAGGTATCAGCAATTTTAGCAGATCTTTTTCACCATGTAATCATTTTTTTCTGTAATTTTTTTTACCATTATGCTGCATAGCCCTCTCAATGTTCTATTTCGTTCTTGACATGATTCAAAAGTAGAAATGAACTAAGCTGTAGATGAATTTTCGAGATCATTAATCCCAATTTATCTCAGTGTTTGACAGTGTAGATTTATCAGAAACCATAAACATCGTGGCTAATTATTATTAGATGGCGACTTGTACGTACCATGCATTAATACAAGAAAGAAAATTGGGTGAATTATTGGTACAACTTAAAGATATTAATTGTGATCCAAAAACAGAAACCAGCAAGCAATAAAGTTTCTGACAAAAAAATAAAGCAATAAAATGAAAAGATTGGGCGATGCAGAGGTATCATCAGTTATTATACTTCATGATGCTACTACTATTTCTTTTTTACAATATCGAAGATTGTTGGAAAATAGTGCTTATATGAGATTGTTTTGATGTTGCACGAGTGAAACAAAAATTAGAGTTCAAAGTGTACTTATTGAAATAGGTTTGTGTCCGAAGGAAAAATTACTAAAATTTGTCCCACATAAGAAAATGGACGAGGTAATGACTAATTTATACATAGCACTTTTAAAACGTGTAATTGTGTTGTAGCATTAACTTTCTCTACGTGTGTGCGCGGGAGGTGTAAGTCGCGGGCTGAATTAGGCACAATGTGCTCAAAGAATGAGAAGAAAAAAAAAGGGGTTTTGCCCTCTCACTTTCAAAAATACTTAAAAATTCAGTCAAATTCTTCTTTCTCTAGTTCTTTGAACCAAAGTTAGTACACGTCTAGTCTTCAACAAAACAAAAGATGCAAAGATCTTGAAATGGAGCACACATTCACAGTGCAGTACTTTAGCCAGAATCTGATACTCTGAGAATCAATCATCACAAGATTTTAACTGAGGAGCGAAGAGGCTT